TTCTATTTCCACATACGCGTCTACCACAAACTATTGGAAGAGCTTTCCTGCATGTAATATCGGATTGAATGATCCTCGCATGGAGATCAAGTAAGAGTAATAGCTCTTCTGAGTAACACGTTCACCAACGTTGTTCGATAGAGTTAGAGCCCATCCTCCTGTGCCCGTTGGAAAAAAAGAGGATATGTGAGGGGGTCACAAATCTTGTCGACGTCGCGAATTTTCATCAGCTGCTCACCTTCCGGCCTGCGCAAATGAACAGCAAGGCTTCTCGTAGCAGGAACGTCACTGCTACTTCATTTGCTGTCGGGATGTCATACTGGCGGCGGGCAAGCCCTCTTTCTTTACATTCTTCAAAGACCATCCTAATATTGGCTGGAGCACGGTTCTCGCTACGTGCCAAAGCGATTTCAGCCTATTCAACTACGCTCATCATTTTGTACGACTGGGCGTAAACGTTCACGTTGGGAATGAGTTCGCTCAGGAATCGCATCAAAGTAGGATCGCAGTCGACATTTCTTACATTTCCAAGTCGTTCTTATGCTGCCGTTTAAGCATCCAAGATGTAAATTTGTCCATATTGTCCCTGTTCTCCTTCTTGCAGATGAAGCGGTCCTATGCGATGGTAGACTTGTTCATAAATGCGACAGCAATAAAGGCCCCTTCTTCTGATAGTGTCTACTTGCGCTCCCATTGAGGCCATTGCTAATGCTGAGTTGAATGCCCTCAGTGGGTCCTTGAACAAATAGCCTGCGTAACCCTTCAAAAAATTTGAAAAAGTTCAAATTGAAGCGGCCCAACTCACAACAATCCAGAAATTGACTTGGGTGCTGCTGCTTGATTTCACACAGAGAATAGCGAGTACCACAGTTTTTACATATGTATGTAGGCCATCTAGATAGTTAGGTTCTGAAAAACGGACCTAAAGCTATTCCNTGTATATATTCAGGCCATCTAGATAGTTAGGTTCTGAAAAACGGACCTAAAGCTATTCCACGAAAAGCAGAAGGACGATTAGCGTTCTTCGGTGTCTTTCAGCATCACTTGTGAGACGAACACTCCGTTTTGTGAAGTTTTTTCTGTACGCGCTCGTCGATGACGTTCTGTATGAGATCAAACTAGATCTTCGTTCCTCACTGACTTCCTCTCTCACGTATTCCCCGTTGACGCTCTACATCGGCCTGATGTTGAACAGCTCGTTCTTCATTGCTTACTCCTTCACGTTTTCCCCGTTGACGTTCTGCTTGTGTCCGCTGTCGAACAGTTCGTTCTTCACTGCTTTCTCTTTCACGTCTTCCCCATTGACCTTCTACATCAGCCTGCTGTCGAGCTGCCCGCTCTTGCGAGAATTCTTCTTCACATCTACTCCTTTCACACTCGCTTTCACTGGTATGAATCCTTGATCGACCACGTTGTCTTCGCGGCCCTTCTTGCGCGTTCTCTGAAACAATATTGATATTTGACATCAGAAGTTATATGACTAATTTTGCACTTATTGACGATGTGATATCATTACAGGACAGCGACCGTGTAGTCAGAGGCAGCGTATGTCATAGAAGTAACTTCTAGGATTGGCTCACAAAACTATACTTCGTAGAAATGTAAAAAGAGCTCGTACTATCGCTACTAACAGTTGGATGTGTTCACCTTCCTTATGAGCAAAATGAACTCAAAAAGATGTCGAAGTGACTACATATTTCAAGTAGGAATAGATTGCATTAATAGGTGGAGAAGCTTGCGATATTACAAAAACTCTGAAAAAAGTGGAGAGCTTGGAAAGAAATGTTCGACTCGAAAAAATAACTCAAGAGCGCTAATATCTGTCACCTATAGTGACTGTATATAGTGAAGCCATCTCGAGCTATGAATCGTCAAGCAATAGCTCTACAGTAAGAAGTGTTACGGAGTTTACAGAAATTGAACCATGAATATGTTTAGAGAAAGATGAAAGAGAATGGGCAAAAAACTATGTAAAAATTCTGTCAACCGTCAGTCTGTTCAATCAAAAAAGTGAAAGAAGTTTCAACATCAAATGAGGATTGCAAAAACTCAATAGATATCAAGCCAATGAAAACTTCTACTGCATAAGGTCCATTGTACATGAAGTTAATCTTTGTATTTGCTCATTGATTTCCTACATAGCAGTGCCGTTTTCCACTGAAAGGGCGGCTCCTGTGATAGTCGCCGTTCTTCTGTTTCCAATCTATGCACTTTGTATTTCTACGATGGGACCTCCATAAACCTGGGCATGGTTGTAGCCTGATGTTGTTTTGCTTTGGCTCTCACGGGTTTGTTACTAAACCTTATTAGCTAGCGTTTCGGCGATATCGCAGCCTTCAGAGCCTGAAATGGATACAAAAATTCGTGGTTATCCGATCAAAGGCTCCACATCCCTACGATCAAAAAATATAGGAGACTCTCCGGCGCGTATCGCGTACGTGGCTCTGTTCTAACATGTTCTGACATGATCCCAAGAGGCTAAAACATGTTGTTCGTTTTGTTGGAAAGAGAACATGTTTCTGGTCTACTCAACTGCTGGAATCTTGCAAAAAAATTCCTTTTCATACGAGAGTTCAACAATATCTCTCACGGGATTGGGGAAAGCGGAGTAGAGCAATCATGCCCTTCCAAGAGGACACTCGACTGCTGAAGTGTCTATAAGAGTGAAGAGCTTAGAAACATAAACAAACTCCTGAGCTAGTCAACTTCATATTACTATCAACAAAAATTAAAGGAATAACAGCTGGACACTCAGAACAAAGAATAAAGTGCTACACATGTATTATTGAAGCGAACAGTAGTGCAATAATCAATATATTAATTCATATTCAAATATTTAATATAGGAGTACCTGCCACCTAGTATCTAGTAGTATTGTGGAGTACTTGGCAATTGACCAAGAGGCACGCACGCGTCACGCGCCGGAGAGTCCCCCTTATTTTTAGACGCGACCCAACCTCACGGAAATTCGAGACCCCCAGGGCTGCACGTAACCAAGAAAGGGGCGCTCACCGTCACTGGATCCTCGAAACCACCCAGCAACCGATAGTGGGACCAGGTCAGCTGGCTTGGTCATCATCGGAATCCCTGTGGTAAGGTCATCGTCTCCACGTAATTGAGAAACATTGTTCCCTCCGGTTCATTTTTGGATTAGTGGCCTGCAACAAAGGGGACATTTCCTTCCACGTCGTCGTATCACGCCACTGAAAAAAACTCTGGTAGTTGTTGGAGAAATGCAGTATCTAATAAGTTGGGCAATGACGCGTGCCATTTCCAACGACTCTCCTCGCTCATCCTCTCCAGTACAGACCTTCGCGGTGGTACGGGTCACATTCTATACAACGGCTCGTTTTGTGAGTCGAGCGGCAATGGATAATGATGTTTTTATTGTTGGGCTTCCCGTACCACTTCGTAGCAACTATATCCCCTTGAAACCTCATAGAACGTTTAACAAAGGGAGCCAAGTTCCGGGTGGTTTTTTTTGTATTATCTTGATGTGCTCCGAGCAAGTGTTGAGTAGGTTAAAACCTATATCTATTTCTTCCTAAACAGACTATGAAGCAATCACCTATACGTATGTACATCTGGAATAGAGTAAGGGCGCTCTACCAATACGGGCACTTCTACTTGGCCATAAAAGCTATTGCCAAAGTAGCCAAGTAGGTGCCAGTCGTTGCATCATAGCCAAAACTCTAGTCTGCGCAAAATACCTTCCCGACTACCTGGAAGTTTCACAATTGAGGCACTCCTCTAGAAGTGCAATCAGTGGCGATATAGTCAGCCCTCACATACTAATATCGATTTGGTGCTGCTAAGGAGCTCGAGTGCGGCTTCCATAGCAGACCTATTGCTGACGTTTGTATAGAGTGCTTCTACATCCCTGGCGCACGGGTGTAGGGCCCCAAGGCGATCTAAAAACGTTTGGGTGTTTGCTAGGTGGAGTGGTATGAATTTAAGAAGCTGCACCAAAATGGTAATAAGGAGCTATGCGATTCGGTCAGTAGGGCCACTCACGCAGCCTATTATGGGACGGACTTTTACCGAGGTGAGGGAAGTCAGGTCTTCTGCTTCCGAAAACTTATGTGTTGTTATTAGCAGGAACAAGACTGGACAGCAAAAGGACTCAATTTCGAGGCACGCTAGTATGCTAAGACTCATTGTCAGTCCTGCTGACCGTGTCAGTCCACCCTGGTTTAAACTGTGGATCTTCGCTTAAAACTCTTTTACAGGCTAGGCGGTATAGGGAGGCGTCCATCAGGTGGTGTTCTGCCATTTCATGATCGAGTTGGCTAGGGATCACTACAAATTCACCCCTTTCGCCACTTATAGATAGTTGTATAGTGCGAGACTTCATTAAGTCTTGAAGCTCCTTTATGCCTTGTGCTTGCTCCCGCGATGTTGGATCACGTGTTCTTCTTTTGGGACCTACAGAGTACCTTGGAAACATCGTCGGCGAAGACCCGGAAATTGGCATCGAGTCTATATAAGGTTTTTGTTGTTTGAAGCACATATGTGAGCGGAAATCGAATGTTAGGCACATTTCTGTGCCTGCTCTGCCGCCAAGAGGACCTTGTCCAACTTGATCTTATAATAGAGTCGGTCTTGTAGTTCGTGTAAGCTGCACATTACCTTTTGCATGGCCACTGTGGAAATAGGCTGCGAGGGTGAGAAACATGGGTCCAATTTCAAAAAGAACGGGCGCAGCCAGATAAGGGAAAAACTCCCAACACAGTGGCTCGAGATTTGAACGAGCCCTTCCGAATGGTCATGATTTCCGGAAATCGTCTTGGCCACGATGCGAGATAACCCCCTTTGAGATTACATGTTGAGCTAAAGAGGTCATCGAACTTGTTTTGATAGGTAGCTTCAACCTGAGATCGAATAGCGCCACAAATTGAAATGGATCCACCCACTATTCTCTTCCAGAGGCGATTCCCCAAGTGTTGGGCACAACAATGGTCCTTCGACAGGCAAGCCAATATCATAGAAAACATGGTATCATGTTTTGTTCGAAGTGCCCTCAGAAGCAACTTCATTTTGATGCCCGAAATCCTGGAGGCACACTGTGAACCGCTGAAGAGATCACCCAACTTTTTCCTCGGTGTGAAGTTGGGAACCACACGTGATCCAGACAGCGGCGAAGGAAGTGAACAGTTTGCCGCGCTAAGACAATTTTTGCTTAAGCGATAAAACTTCTTTGACGAGCTGTTGATATCGAGTTGGCACATTGCGAAGTAGTCTCCACGTTCGCGTTTCCATAAGTCTCGGCATGGTTGTAACTTGATGTTGTTTTGCTTTGAATCCTCACGAGGTTGTTAATAAAACTTAATAGCTAACATATTGAATTTTCGCTTTCCTCAGAGTCTGGATTGGATCAAAAACAATTCGTGGAATAAGATCGAAGGTATCCACAAACTTACGGAAGTTCGGGGCAGCACGTTACCTGAGGAAGGGGCACTCACCATACCTAGCGGGTTCTCGAAATCATCCAGCAACCGATAGTGAGACCAGGTCAGTTGGGCCTGGTCGTCATCGAAACCCCTGTGGGAAGGCCAACCTTATATAAAACTTCAGTTTCCGCATAGTTTTGAGGCATTCTTCCCTCCGGTTTTTTTTGGCTTGGTAGTCTGTATCCAGAATGCCTCGAGAGATCAGCGCGCGCACGATTGCAATTCCTGGACCATGACTCCCACACTGTATTTCGCTCGTTCGAATTTCCGCGGTGCCTCAATCTCTAGGTCGGAGTTGTCTTTTATGCACTTCAGCATCCTGGCGCGTACCTGAAACGCATCTTACTCTTTATTCTGACACTCCCACTAAATATATGGCCCGTTATTTGAAAAGAGTAGTTGTAGTTGATCTCTAACTACCTATTGTAGCAGCGTCGCTTTCCACTGAAGGGGCAGCTTCTGTGCTAGTCATTCCGCTTCCAATCCTTGAACTTTGTATTTCGCTCCTCCAAGGTTCCGCGGTGTTTCGAGACCTAGATCGAAGTCATTTTTCATGTACTTCATGTGCCTCGACATAGTGGCTAACATCTAGAACCCATATTGTCCTATTCCTAATGCTGACACTCCCACTACACATAAGAGCTGTTGCTTAAAAAGAGTAGTTGTATTTGATCCCTAATTACCTGTTGTAGCAGTGTGGAGCAGCAGCTCCTGCTCTTCCTTCTCTTTGATTGAATGCACAAGTTCAGAGGGAAACAACGAGCTTCTTGACTGAACGTCCTCATCCTTCCAAAATTGCACAGAAACTTTCAGTGCTCTCTAACAAGCAATTTCATCACCGGATCTTTAACACATTGAAGACAATCACTTTGGCGGAGAAATCACCGTTGGGGACCAGCGCGCATTTCGTCCAGTCGCGACTGCAGCCCACACGGGAACCACATGCTCCAGCATGACCATTTTTCGAATTTCGAATTGGGGAGTTTTCGATTCTCTCTGAAACCACAAATTGAGCTTATGGCTAACAATATCGGTATGCAGAATTCGGAGTCTAGTCAGCTACTGATCGATTCTGATGAGGAGAAGGCAGAAAATGAGAATGGTGCAGCTTAGGCGCTTCTTTCGGGCAGTGTCAATTTTTGATCAAGTGGAATTGAAGAACACGATAGATTCACTTTCGATGAGGAGTGCGGCGTACATGATGATGACTTGAGTCATGAAAAACCAATCGATTACTTCAAATTATTCTCAGACAGCAATATCACTAATTCTAACATGGCAGAAATCGACCGCTATGGCAATGCAAAAGTTGGAAACACATTTGGGAATCGACAACGGAGAAATTTATAAGTTTTTTCAAATGTGCCTTCAAATGGGTTTGGTAGGAATGCCCACATTGAGCGACCATTGATCTTTAGAACCGGCACTCAATTGTGAGTTCAAAAATCACCAGAAATCGTTTCGGTGAGCTTTTATGAGCTTTGCATTTAGTCGATAACAGCGAAAATGCTAATGACCGTCTTTCCAGAATACATATCTCATTTTTTGAAGTTGTTCGGCGAACGGAGTTTTCACCACAGGTAATGTACTCCTTTGATAAAACACCCTCGATACTGCAAAATCAGAAGATTCGTGGGACTACGCAACATGATTCAATGTTTCGAGACGAAAGATCGTTGAAAAGTGGAAACATAAATGAATAAATTAAAAAATACAACGTACTCCACATGTAGACTGCACCGTTTAATGTTATGTGCTATAGATACCAGCGCTCAAGAGAAGGAAGTCGATCAAAAAGAATGACGCCTATGTGCATAGTGTGGGAAGGAAATGGGTTTTTTAAACTTTTAACGCAATACAAATGAAAAAGAAAAACAGGAGTGTCCTCTCGAGCTGTTTCTCAATACATATTCTGTCCATACAGCACGTCCGTAAAGAAGTATGGCTCTCAGACGAATCCTAAATGAGCAACCAAGCTACCGGTCGGGCACTTCCTCTGAATTTTAGGAGTTGCACTGCTGACATGCAAATGATCATCCCTATCAGATGGAATCAAGCTTGTTGTTGAAAGGAAAAATAGATCAGATTTTTAAACGAGGGAGGTTCATTCACTGCAGTGACGGTACCACTCAGTAGCTGCTGGCAGATCATTTCAGATCTTCTCAAATTGGTGCCCAGACGTGGCAATACGCTACATCCACTGAATGTCAAGAGTCAACGTGAACGCCCTGAAGGATATAAAGGAATTGAAAGAGGCTGGGCAAGAGCAGCAGACTCGTAAGATACCATTATTTCTACACAAATCATCTAAGAATCATTCAGTCTATTATTCAGAACACGTCCAGCCGTCGTACATCAAACAACCGACAACTACCTCAGAAACACCTCCCCGTCTAACTACAGTCAATCCATTGACAGTTAGTTTTGATGGAGCGCTAGGTACTCAATGTCAGAAAACCCTCAGCGTTGCGTAAGTTTTAGAATGGATTCGACTAAAAGATGTTTGATTTAATCCCTTGATTGGCTCAAAAGCGCTCAAGATGTTCTAAACAATGGCCATGCGCGCTACGTAGTCCCTGATTAGTGAGACAAATATAACGCTAGAAATACTGAGGTGTGGTGCAGTAGGAACGAAGTTGTCGCGTCGCGGCGAGAGGGACGCCGCGCGCGAAGGAATGCAGTAAAATGCAGCGGCAAGTAAGAGATACAGGATCAAAAGAAGTAATAGTAGAAACACGCCAAAAGTATAATCGCATAGCGATTGAGCAGTATGAAGAACGCCAGAACTGTTATAGCGAGGCAACGAGGTCCGCGACAGCCGCGTGCGGCGAATCGACTGCATAGAACCGTTCCTACTGCCCGTTTCCCGAAATGCTGTCCCTCAGCTGAGCCTGACCCTAGAATTGCATGCGTAATTAGCTCGAAAGGAGAGTTTGTTCATTTAGCTTGCCGTAGAAAGAGCCAACCATCAGTATACTTCCGTACAGCTCTAATAATATTTGGCTCATCCACTCCAACGAGACTTGGTGCGTAGCAAACAATATTCAGTGTTGAACACCTGTGATTCCCACAACCAGGATCATTCTAACATTAGGCTCCATATGATCAAATTCAAATGACCTTTAGGAGAAGAGGAACGTGAAGATGTGAAGTGCGAAACAGACCGATCTGATTGAGTCACATGCTCGATCCTACATCCTGAAGATGGTGATTATTTAGGGAGGATAATCGAAGCAGAGATAACCCACAATGTTATGATCCGGAACCAAATATGTGGGATCGCTGCCCACTCCGCACTCCATCATGGCACCTTTCTGAAGAAGGGGAAACAATCACCAGCCAGTCCACCCAGTCTATTTGATGTACATCGAATGGTGAAAGTTAAGAACAAGGAGATAAAAGGACAAAGTCTCGAGGTGTTAATCAATCCCGTCTGAGGGATGCGACCCCACACTTGAGTTCCATAAAGAATGATAGTGGCAGCCTGAATGCGTATCTGCGGTGGCCAGCCGATGTACAAGTCAGTGCTTGTCTTCCCAGACAGGTCTGGTATCTATTGCCCGATTCCGAAGGTATGGAAGGCTTAGGTTAGATGGCCCAGACGGATATCGATCCAGGATTCGAATCCGTGACCATGCATGCATGAAATGCGCCACTTATCACAAAAAGCTGTCGTGGTCTCGTAACTACCCTACCGTTCAGGAATGCCTCAAATGATCGCATTGCGTGGAGAATTTTAACGAACGCACCGACTCGTTATGTTGTCTCGCCAAATAAAGGATTTCTTTTTAAGCAGGAGAAAGCTGAGGTGACTAATTCTCTGGTTCTAATGAAAATAATGAAAATACTGCCGTGATCTGTTGTTCTAATATGCCGTTTTGACGTTTCAGGTTCAAATAATTCTCTTAAATGTGTCGAAGTATCATCGCCGTCATGCATTCGTAGTACAAGCGAAACCTGCCAAAATGGAGGAGAATAATCGTAAAGTACTGGCAATCTTCATCCGTTCGACAATGGCCTATACCTGGACAAAGTAGGACAGCGCATGCCAAAGCCGTCGACGGGACAGAACTAGGACGACGTCCCTCCAATATGCAAAAAAAGAAAATTCTCTGAGACGACTAACCGACTTGATTTCGGCAATTTATGTGCCGACCTACGCCTTACAACCCTGTTAAGAACAGACAATACTTTATCCATCCTTGAAATAGTTTATGCGAGGCAAAGCTAGTCTGCAAAACTGTCGCCGTTTTGGTACTGTCAAGTGACAAGGGCACCATATACTTCACATTCTTCCAAAATTGTTTTGAAGGAGTATCCCACACAATTACATTTGTGGGTCAGCGGCTGCTTTCATAGTCCTCCGGCGTGTCAGCCGAGGCAGTGCTAGGGGGGAGGAGGGGGGCAGACGGTCGGTCGACGCGGTCGCGTNGGCACGCCGGCGGACTATGAAAGCAGCCAGTTCAGATACAAATCCAATTCAGCATGCGCAACTTTGCGCCACCAAGTAGCAGTAACTCACCCTCTTTAGTTTTAATCTAGGACAAAGTATGAGGTCTTCATCGTTAGTCAAGCCCTTTTTGGGATGCGCCCTCGTCATCGACTTACGTGCAGAATCGTAATGGCGGTTTGCAGACCACTTACCACATTTGGTTGTGAGTTATGGTCAGAAATAGTAAAATAAATCTAGATGACCTGGCCTACGAGAACTTTCAAAAAATCGAAGCTTCTGTATAACACCATGCAAAGTTCAGGAAGAGATATTCCCGGAAATCCCACAGCCCAATTAGAATAGGCACATGATGTAATCTTTACCTGATGGATATGTCACGACGGTCCCACCACAACATGACTAATAGTCACCCATTAAGCCCTCCACATGCATGTAAAAAAATTAGTCAGTCATGTGAAAACAATCAAAAACATGATTCAGTCAATTGTGGGCACCAGTAACGTCTTTAGTCGTCCCTCTCGCGAGCCAGATTGGTCCAGAGGATCGTTCTCACTCGAGGAATGTGAGGGGGATTCCATTGGGCGTCGAGCTCACATGTGTACTACTGTTCTTGCAATAGGCTCATCATTTTCGAACCGACTTCTCAAAGAATTCGAACAGTTACACAGGAGCGAGTGCCTCAATATAGTGAAGCTATATAAAGGTGTATTCCTGAACTGAATTCCAAGTAAAACACCGTCCTGAGAACATAAAAGTATTCCACCTGAGTCGTCAATATCGAATGAATTGATGTGCCTTTTTTTTCAAGTTGGCATGGCGCGATCTGGCGCCCACTGACACAAAACTCGTTCAAAGCACTCGCATCGGTACATCGTGAGTAAATTTCATTTATGCCGTTACGTATCGGGAGCATCAAACCGTTCATTGCTTTCAGATGTCCAGCTGCCACGCGTCATGTGTCAGGTTTGTTCTACAAAAAAAAACACTGCAGTTGCAGTTGCATTAGTCGCAGCTCGAATTGGTGCCTGCCCGATCTTGTTCATATGTTCAGAAATTGTATGTTTACTATGTGGGTGGTCGTTATTGTACGGGAAAAAGCAAAGAGCAGTAGAAAATGTGAAACTGAGTTTGTAGGACCGTGCACATGCGGACGGACGTTGTACCCCTGACCCCACAAAAATAACCCTTATTCTTTAGCGTCAGCCTTCCTTGAAAGGTCTCTGACAAAATAGGTCCATTACATTCTGGAGGCCCATTCGTCACTAATTAGATGGAAAACATTTTTTTCTGCGACGGATCTATCCAGGAAAAGAATCACAGCTAAAGAAGAGCTTACTCATACAGTTCCCACCCATGATCTCACACGCTAAAGCCAAAACAGTACGTCCCTCTCCCACAGGGCCCGCTTATTTATTGTAATGCTAAGGCTGCGCCGAGCGTCCTTACGCCTGTGCTGGTGGTACCAGAAACAAAGAAAAGGAGAGAATGTTGACAGTCACGATTCCTCAAGAATAAACTTGAAAGTTGAACGTTGAAGAGTGAATTGAAGGGAAGCATATTATCGTTGATAACAGTCGAACTTTTCACTGATTGCCTTCATGGCATTTACTATAGCAGTGAAATTGTGAGCGGTCTATGGGTGGATACATTGCTAAGCTCATTGCCACAACACCGTCATGCAACGGAGGAATTGGCGCCGATGATATCACTGGAGAAATCGCCATAGTCCGGAAGAATGGTGTGACGAGGAATCTAGACGGAGCTCTTTATCGATATGGACTAGGTATAGCCAACATCACTACCAGCTAAGTCTTATTTGAAACATCAGCCCACTCGATTAGCGCTGATACTTTGATGGAATGCGCGGTCGGGCGTTGTTGGGGGACACTAATTTAAATCATCTTTTGAGTTGATTGCAATCATTGAACCTCGTATTTCTCATAGGATTGAACAGCGACGGAAATAGATGTAGGTAATAGAGGATGAAGCTGGTAAAAGCTGTGAGAGGGCCACAGTATGCCATACTGAGCTCTGAAGTTTTTGCTTCTTCTTCGCAAAATATAGGCGAGCATAGTCATGTTGCGAGAGGGAGTTGTTCTGCTCTTCATAATCATTGGACATTTCCTGAGAAAGGATTAGAATTTGAGGTCTAAATGACACGTACGCAGCGTCTGAGTCATTGTCGCATCCTGTGGTGCTCCTAGACAACTCACTTCGACCGGTTGTGGGTCGTCGTTCGTCGGAGACGGCGAAAATGCCTATCGCATCGAATATGTTTCTTGTAGCATATCTAAGTCTTGCATAACAGCAGTGAGATGGCAACCACAAGACAAAATTACTACAATAAGGGCATCAAGTATCCTCTACATGTGTTCTGAAAACTACGCACCAGTACTCGTTTTTAAAAACGCCTTGTACAGAACAGATGCTCCGCAAGTTCGACTTGAATCATAACCGGATCCCGCTTCATCCACATTTTCAGTAAAACTGACCCCATTTGCTTTTCACCACCATCCACCCAGAGCAGTAGGATTTCCTCTGGATCTTTCCTGTTAATTCCAACTATTTTCAGTTACAAGCAGTGGATCGAGCGTTTCTCATTCATCAGACAAAGGTGTGTTTTTACTGTTTAACTTGATCAAATCGCTACCAGATAGAAATAGGCAACTTAAGAAGTAGAACACCTGATTTCTGGGTAGGAAGCTGATAGCCGATGTATCGAATTTATTCGGCTGCCATTGGGATGTGGGGCGGACAAGAAGATTGATAGCATCAACTATGCATTTCCGAGTGAGACTCAACATTGAACATCTAAGCGTTGAACGCCTATTCACCCTGACTCGACTCATCTACACACTCAGAAGTAATCAGCTCTTGACTGATCTTCTCTTGAACAGTTCGTGAAGGGGGCAAGGAAACGTGGAAATTAAGAGCGGATAACTCTTGGGCTAAAAGGGAGACACATCGTAAATGAATGAGCACTTGGCCTCCCATGATCAGAATCCAGCTCAATAACGTTTATTCCGATTTGTATAGTTAGAGCTCTAAAAAAGAGCTTCCACCCAACAGGGTTCGAGCTTAGATAGGCACGAAGTGTACGGCCGAAGCGAAAGTACACTTGTTGGTCAAGGTTCGCGACATGCTATACTGCCGCATTCAGCGGAAATTCGTCTCTAAAGCAGTGCCTTCACACTAAACTCGGACTGACCCAGTGTCCACATCTAAGGATTCAACTCTGTCCTTCATCTTTCATAGTCTAGACCGCTTTGTTTCAGAGACTTCAGCCACCTCGTCTAGATCTCCCTCTACGAGTTCATCTGTCGTAAGCAATATAGATCATGGAGAGTACACACCAAAAATCAAGGAACTCACAGAAGCTGTGAAACAAGCTGCTGGTAAAACAGACCTTTCAATAGCATCTTATATAATCTGTTGAAGAGCAATTCCCTGAAATGGACTACGCAAGCGATCTTTATTTACTTATTCGAAGACAGCACAAAGGTCGTCCTGAAAATACATAAAGGATAAAAAAGGTTAATGTTTTTCCAGTTAATCAATCCCGTCTGAGGGACACGCCCCCGTACTCGACTTCCATACAGAATCGTAGTGGAGTAATGAGTGCGTATGTGGCCTATGCAATGACTTGCGTTGGCCAGCCGATGTACAAGTCAATGCTTTTATCCTCCCAAACGAGTCTGGTACCAATTCACTGACCACGGAGGGATGGAAGGCTTGCTTGGCTTAGGCGGGAATCGACACGGGATTCGAACCATTGACCGTACGTGTGAGATAGTGCGCCACTTGCCACTAAACCACCTTCGCCCTTTGAAAATACACATTTACCACAATTAATCTTATCCAATGAAATGTATGCCAGTACGATGCCATTAGATGTCACAAAACTGCAACTATTCCAGCTCTAGAACATGGACGGGTAATTTGCGAAAAAATGTTGAGTAATGCCAATCAATACAGGAAGAGCAACACTATGACAACACCAGGATTTAACAAAAAAATAAATGCAGAAATATTCTAGAAATTACCCAACCGTTCACACCAATTCTATAGATTTGGATGCGAAGCCCTGGTGGACAACGGTGAGATTCGAGCGTGCGATGGACCTATACCGTGTTGTTATAAGTGTTCAAAAGCCGAAGCCGGCGTTTTCTAATTATATGCAAAACATTAGCTATCTTTTAGTAACCCGAAATGATGCATGCCCCGCTATAGGAGACATAAGTATTGTGTGGCTGTAAATCTGCTTCCTTGGTACTGTTCTTGAACATTCAACCTAATGAAGAGCTATGTGAGGAAATGTGTGGGTAAAGAGCCTCCTGTACGAACTACGACAATTGACCACAACCTGTAGGAATTTCAAGAAGCGAGTGAATAAGAATCTTCTGTGCAACAAATATGATTTTTAGAGCAAAAGCAGTTAAACACGCAACGTATGGTTGCGGCAGTGAACGAGGTGAAAAAGCTGGAAGTCGAATTAGATCGTGCAGGGCAGAACCTCAGTCAGGTGCAGCAAAGACACAGCGAGCAAGATGCGACAGTAACCGTGAGTATCAGACTGCACGAATGCCAATTCAACTGCTTTATTTTTCTTAACCTTTCTCAGTACCAGTAGAGTTACCATAAAATCGCAAGGCAGTGTTTTCAGGAATATTCATTCTTTTTTCTGTTTACATTTACATAAAAAAATTAATTAGTAAAGTTAGCCACAAAAGTATATGATTTTCAGGACAGCTACTTCAACTTTTTACTTTCAGATGCTTCGTTCACGACTAAAAAAGGTTCGCGAGCAGTTGGCTATCGCGAGAGAAGCTGAACGTCAACGCAATCAAAATTAAAAACATTTGTTTCTTAAAGGTCCTTATTTGGAGTTAATCGATGTATTTCTCGGCATAAATACGGTCCTCTGTTCACCTATTGCTCTGGGCACACACACGAGACACCAGTAATTCGAAGCATACGGAAGAATTTATGCACTCTGATGTTATCTAAGAAGGAATTAAGAATAGACATTGAGAAAAGTTGAAGGAAAAATGAAAAACAGAAAAGACTTAAAGACATTGTAGTCGTTTGGGCCACGTTTGGGCCAACCGACAAAACCACCGAGATTTTTCGAACGCTGTAATTAAGTCGAATCTATTCACCAATTCCTGAGCTGAAAAACTCTGGTCTTGGTGCTCACGATCAGTTGAATGTGGCATTTAAACGGAAACCTCCAGGACGAATAACCTGAATACAGATCTACCCTCAGCTGTTCCTACGAGTTAGGAAAGGTCTTAGAAGAAGTATTACTAAACTGACTACTGATAGACGTCTATAGCGACAGCGGATCTTTGTCCGCTTAAGAGTTGGAACCTTGGCCTCTGAAGATACCGCCGAAACGTTACACCGTCAATTTAATAAATCGTTCCATCAAAAAACCTTGTACGCCACAAGAATATTCTATTTACAGCAGCTATGCCGAGGACAAAGCAAGAGAGAGATTAGAGACTATTTGACTTTTGGCTTTTCCAAAAAAGCGAGAAAAGAGAATGCACCAGGGAAGAAAAAGAACTGAGATTCATAGAGAACCGGACTCAGGTACTGTAACCAGCTACAAACTTCCGAATCGGTCATCACCTGAGTTTTGTGATGTGTTTACCTACTTGAAGGAGACAAGAATCAAACAGAAGCAATTAGTGCATCACAAATACGACAGGCTACCTCTAGAATGAATGATAGGATCCAAAGAATTCTCATCCTTTTACAACAAATCACAACCAACAATATCATCCGTTTCATTCTCTCTCAACGTTATATTCACCGCAGCGGTTTCGCTCGTTCGGAGAGGGAGTTTGTCATATACCCCCTATGCTACACGTTACTGAAATCGTTTACGGTACTTCTGTTAGCGGTTCTCTCATGGCGTATCTCCTTCAAAGCCCGTTTCGTTCTGTTCAAAACTCTAACCTGGCCAGTAATAAAAAATTCTCAGAGGTATTAAAAACAGCAATAAAACAACTCGCAATTGTACAGAGAAAGTAAGAAAACTGCACCCAGCCTCACCCGATCAATGGATGAGCACACAAAGAATGAAAAAATTGTCTGGCATATGTATGAAAAAGGGCCTGGTAATGTCCCTTTTTTTCAAGAATGTGTGAATATTATTCAATATTTATAAAAAAAAAATGTTACCGGAATTCGAAGAGCATGATAGACGAATAAAAGCGTATTTAACATCGCATAAATTGCAACCAGTTCTTATGGCGATATTTGATATCGATTATTGCCAAATGGATATGCGTATCACAAATAAATAGAAAATTTACAGTATTAATTGTATTGTAATGAACAGATTGGCTTTCGAAGAACATTCCGAGATAGCAACGACTACCAGCACAACGTTATGGAGGCAATATGATGCTCGAAAAAAATAACAAATCAGTATTCCATCAAATGAACAGAGAAATCGAATGCCCATTTAGTGAAATGAGCTTTTCGATGATAAAGTCCACAATCGAAAGTCCAGTGACGTGAAAACAGAAACGAAATCTTGCTAGCACGCAAGTCAGAATTCGGAAAGATCTATTTGTATCGCTAGCAGATCGTATCCTCTGTGTTTGGCTTCTTCATGCTGGAATTCCTTGTCAGATCGTTCAACGGCGGTGATGGAACCCTAAAAAAGTGTAAATACTAGCATACCTGATGAAGATGGGGCAAGAGGTGCAGACAGAGCCCAATCAACAGCTAATCTAACCACTGTAACGAAATTATGCCACGTAATAATATATTTTAACAGATAAGTCCCTTGTCAGTTTTGGGATAGCCTGGCTAGCCAACCGCAGTCTACACAGCTCCACTTCAGAACCTAGCAAGTTAGTTATGGACATCTTGATGTCACAAACAACACTTTAAATGGACCTCATTTCCATGAATCTGAGAGAGTTCTCAAAACAGCAGCACTAGGTAAGACCGCTCGAATGAAGCTGCTGAGATTTCACTGCTATAATAGGCTGCCTAAAAGGAGAAGGTCAAAATGACGATCTGTTCGTCCTCCAACGCACGAAGCTTGCATCGCAAGCGCATATCGAATATCTGATGACGTAAGCTAAGACGATCAAGTACGACGTGATCGTCGAGACGAGAATGCATCGCCAACTGCATGTCATTTTCGAAATTGAAGAGAGTTGATCCCTGGAACATACGACATCTGGGCATCAACGTCGCAGGTGTCCTCGTCAATACGCACTTGGTCATGAACTTCGATTCGTACGAAAGCTTGACAATCCGAGCCGGCCTTTGCGATTGAGAAGATGTGACGCAACTCCAGCTCTAACAATCTTTGTAGCCTACGCACCAATATCAAGCTATGAAGAAGAGGAGTCAAACGCGGTTCATATAAATCAGGCAAGGTCCTTCAGAAAAAAAAANAAAAAAAAACAGTCTCTTGAAGGTCATCGTCGGTGATTTCAACGCCAAGAAGTGGCACCAGAAGAGGGGGAAATGCTACACATCGCAACTCGCGAAAACGAATGGAATGAGCAGAGTGCAATACTGCAATGTCGACCTACACCATCTAAGAATTGCAGTTCCAGAACCTTTCATTTGCGATGGTCATGGTACTCACCTGGTCAAGAATTACATGATGAAATAAAAAATTACATGAAAATAGACCACTTCATTTCCAATCGAAAGTTTTGTCTGAATGTTATTCCGAAGTTCTACACTGGGTCAGACCATCACCTCCACCCCGCTAGATTCTGCCTTTCGATACTCGGGAAAGACTTACGAAACTCATTGAAGCCCCGAGACCGTTGTCAGTCAAGAACACCAAGCTTTCCTTGCATTTTTAGGGAGATTCCGCTATCGATAACATTGATCAGGATTACGTTCGGCTTCTTGAATACTTTCGTGATACGTCATACAAGCTGAGAGCTCACAAATTGCCAAAAAAGCCTCTCTCTTCAAAGACTCTTGAGCTAATACGTCGGGGAGGAGTTTCGTGAGTCACAGGCAATCATCGGTTAAAGTCCGAACTTGCCAAGCTAAGCAGAGAAGTACTAAGTAAAGATATGGAAGAGAAATAAGTATCAGTTCTGGCCGAAGGCGCTGAATTCAGGATGAGCATTCGCGAAGCTTGCGGAGCTTCATCAATTATAAGGCCAAGATGACTTCCCTTCGTTGTCCTGACAGAATAGTTAGTGCATCTCGAGGGGCGATGGAGAAGGTCATCCATGACATCTTTGATTTTTTCGACAGCCACATCTACCTGCCAACCTACAAGATATGTCACGTGTCCTTCTTTCAGATCTCCCTTCCGAAATTCGACACGTACCCGATGAAGATTTCTAAGTCGCTTGGTCCGACTAGGTTTAGTCCGACCAAGCGACTTACAAGTCTCCATCGAGTACGTGTCGAACCAGACCATCTAAAGAGCCTCCTACTAGCTATCGTCAGAACACTGGTTCAGCTTTTCACGCGGTACCTGTTGGAATGCAAAGTGCCACGTCGTGGAAAACTAGCAAGACTGTGTTGCTGTATAGGAAGAGAGATACCGACTACACTGGAACTACCACCCAATCTGCTTGCTGTCAGTAAAGTGCCCAAACGAGTCATTCTTAACAGAATTGGCAGAATATCAGACAAAGGACAGCCATGTGAGCCAAGAGAGGGTTCTGCACAGCCACATCCATACTGTCGCAGGGCTCACTGAAGTATCGCTCGAGTACAGGGTGCTGTTATGTCTGACGTTTATCGATTTGAAGGAGCCCTTTGACACCGTCGAGACAGAATTGGTAACTGAAGCCTTGCGGCCAGGATGTTCCATTCAACGCATAATGATAATTCGTGAGCTTTACAACAATGTCACGCAGGCACGTCACCATTCTCAGTCGTTATCAACGTGAATAGAGGGGTTCGGCAGGGTGAACAGACGGGTTCGGCACTGCTCAAACTTTTTAGTGCCGCTCTCGAGAACATCTTGCATCGTTGGGGATGGGAAGACTTGAGAGTGAAGGTCGACGCTTCATCACCTCTCCTTTGTAGGGGACATCGTTCTCATAACTCCGAGCGTCAAACAGGAGGAATGAATTGTGGTCAGATTTGACAGCGTTTGTTGAAGGATCGACTCATGGCTATACCTCACCAAGATGATGTTCAAGAGGGAGGAATTGGTATCTGATGCTTCCTTTACGTTGAACGGAACGAACATCTCTGAATGGCCGAGCTACGCGTAACTAAGCCGAGAACTCAACATAATGAAAGATCAGCCCAAGAAATGAGCAGAAGAAAACGGCTGGAGGAGCGAGCATGCTGTCAGCGTCGCGCTGTGAAAAGGATGATAGTCGGATTTTTTCGTTACGTACAAGTGCAGAAGAGAATCTGGACGTCTAAGCTCCGTCAACGAACGAAAAACAGGGATGCCGTTGCTTACGTCAAGGATCCGAAGATCAGGCGGCCCACACGTCATGTGATTTTGCGATGACCATTGGAATACAGCGTTTGTTGACGGAAATCCTCGGGATGTCAAATGAGCACCAGACTGACCAACAGTGCGATGGTCAGCATCCTCACTAAAACTCTAAATGAAAGATACATATACTGATCCTCGCGTCTCGAGTGAGGACGACTGAGGATCAGTATATCTTTCAAATGGAGACTCTATGGTGAGCTCGATAAATCGAATGGGATTGCAGGTAATAGGTGACAAAGACTACATCGATGACAAATTCAAAATTTAACAATCTTCCGACCAGGTGTTCCGGTTCACATGTATCATCTGTATACCGGTACTCCCGTTGATCGTCGATTTCCTCATGCGGGCGCCAGTACCGTCTCCCTCCATTCGTCCCTGTCGCAAGCCAGAAGAGTCTAGTGAATCTTACTCGCTCGAGGGACACGGGGCAGAACATTCTTTTCGTTCAGAGCTCTCGTGAAGAAGGTTGACCATCTCTTTGGCGGCCGTCCTGTTGTTGTTTGTCGTCCCGAGGGATCTAGTACGTGAACGCCTTCGTCCAACGGTCATCACTATATCGCATGACGTGCCCGGCCCACCTGATTTTCGATTTCTTCCGTTTATAAGGAATTATTCATGCTGGGATCCGAATATAAAACTCACTTTCCCATTTATCCCTCATCTGTTGAATCGCTTAGAGAAGAGCAAAAAGCTGCAGGGATCAACAATGAGGATCATACACCTATCATAGTTAGACTCATTTAGATCATTCGGAATAAACATAACCACAGTGAGTTAGCGAAAATGACTGAAGCGCAGTGAGGGTTGACGCCGACTATCCAACTGCTCGTGTTCAATTAGGGTAGCCAATTCTAAGCTAGCCACAGTACCCTGTACACAATCCAGGTGGTGATGCTTACTTTATTACTCCTCCCCAACTAACTGATAAGGTCCGACTCCTTTAGGCGTCATTCTGATTGAAAAAAGGACTTATGCGCAGTTTGATGAAGTGAACAGTCGTTTACAGTCTTACGCCAGATCTGGGAAAAGGGAACTAACTGATCCATCACTGGCCGCTGTCCAAATCGTCTGGCTACGCCTTGTGCTTCGCCTCGCTCTCCTTCGGCAACTTTCATGAAGTTATCCACCTAAAAAGTTTCCAATGTGCGTTTAACAAAATCAGCTGAAGAGAAATTTTAAATCATGAATTGATCACGGTGCGGTTATGGTACTTTGCAAGCGGAAAATGATATTGTGAGGCTGTAGCGCGTGCAAAAAACTGTGTTCGAAAAATGCGTGACGCTGCAATAAACGGCCAGTGCATTCTCACTTGCTTTCGTAATAATTTTCTCATTTCCCGCCTTCGTAAAGTGAACGCTACTTGTGCCTAAATAAATAGAAGATGGAAGAATAAAGGGTTTACGGTAAATACATCCATTAAATATTAAAGAGGATCATCTTGTCATATAAAATTAAACAGATGCGTCTGTTGGCTGTATTGTCGATGTGTGTATGTGTGTACGTGCATGTGTGTGTGTTAGTATGTGTGTCAGTGTGTGAGGTTGGCCAGAGATTCAAAACACCCGTACCCCTGAGCCTGAATCATTCTAGTTTGGAAGAGATACAGAACCCAGGATGGGAACATTGATACCAGGCAATAAGAAGTGATAACAACTCGAAAACGCCCGGATTCCCTGTTACCCTGACGATCAAACAACGAAGTGCGTGCGTTCAGAAGCAAAGCGGTAATACCAATATTACAATAACACTTACGATAATAGTGATGGGAAGGGCCAGCACGAGCACTCCACAAGCTATAGCACCGGTTGCCACTAGTTTGCCAGCTGGATGAAAAGAAAATATATCATTTGCAAAATTGAAAGTTTCAAAGATGTTTCCTCACCTACAGTAACTGGCGTGAGATCTCCATAGCCTGAAAGAATAAGGTCTTTAGGAGGAAGGCGATGTTCAAACACTTGTCCAGATGGTGGAAGATAGACTATGCTACACTGAGATATCTCATTCCAGGAGAACAATCAAAGCAAAGTTCGAACCACAAACACGATACCAAACTTACCCACTGTTGTCATTGTGACGATACACATAAAACGAGATACAATCAATTATAGATGAGAAATAGAAAAAAACCTTGTCAGTGAATTCAAAAACAATTGTTTTTTTTTGTGGAGCGCATCACGAAAAAGGATTCAAAATAAAGCACATTGAAGGCACAGTAAACGATCATTCTGAGGTAGCTAGTTTATTTGGACGAATAATGAAGCGGCAGTAGAAAATCGTGCAAAAATGGCGAAAAAACGAGAGCATTCAGAAAAAGAAAGGCTTTAAAAAGGTTGGTAAAATTGAGGGTTGGACGAGAGTGTGACAAAAAAAATCATGGAGGGGGTATTAGGACGAGCTGTCCAGATAAGTGTGTCATCGCTTACAGCTGGTTACAGGAAGCTGCCTGCTTATGGTGCCGTGAAAACCCATTCGCCTTGGGTGTTAACGTCGGTTAAGCCGGTCTTAATGCCCTTATTACGCCCTGGCTTGGCCGTTTTCGAACCGACAGCGTCCCTTAGGCTATCTTTGAGAGTCACTGGTCCATCTTGAGGAGGAATCTCGGAAACCTCTTTTATCGTAAACGGTGACTTAAAATTAAGTTACCGTTTACGATAAAAGAGTAAGTTACAGGATTTTCCATGAAACCTCATTTTTGCTTTTTTGTGACCATGCTTGTTTCCCTTACTCATGGTTACAACTAGGCCGGAACACAGAAATCCGTGAAAATTCCAGCATTCCACCATTTGAGCTTCACTTTGAATTTACTATATCTTGTTTACATGCCCAACTTTCTTTAGCGCCTCAGAAATAGTAAATGGGGCTATGAATTCGCTTTTGACTAGGATTAGGTAGCAGAAATTGAAGGGAAGGAGTAGGCTACTTCCCAACACAATATAAAAAGAGCGGAAAAATTTCTGCGCAAAGTTTTTAGGAATTCAAAAGCGCTACAAACTTCAGTGTTGACTGGGTAACTTCGAAGCATATTTTGAATTTAATGAACATGCCGAACGAAACTCCTCTAAGGGCAATGAATAGTATTACGTACATGTTGCAAATTGAGTGAACTTCTCCTTTTTTATCGCAAGAAAAGAATACTTACCACCAACATGCAGCTGGTATCGAGTAGAATTGTGAGCCAGGTTCGTCTTTTTCCAAAAAATAAACCAATGTTGAAAAGAAAATCACACCCGTCATTACGACCATCGCCATCATGCCCAACTGACGGAACGATGCCTCAAAAGATTTCATATTGCCGGAGCATGAATTGATTCTAGGCTGCTATGTATCATGACTATGAACAGGTGCGTAACCCAGCGAATGAGTAGCCTAAGCGAATATTTCACGTCTAGGAGCATAAAACACAATATGTAGGGCAGTATGGGTTAGAACCAAGGAGACTAGCTTGCGAAAGATCTGGCTCTTCCGGGCAGACCCTTTCTCTACGAGAACCTTTAAAATAGCAAAAACACGATAACGTGAAGAATGATGACACTTGATACCTTGAGCGTTTTTCCGAACATTTGTAAGCCACTGCTATATCGGCCGAGTTTAAGTACTCGAATCACCCGCAAAACTCGTAGGATTCGGATGACTAAGAAAGCGCCCTGTAACACTTTTTCTTGAGAGAAGACCGAAAAGAGGTACTTCCATTACTGATAAAGTTTGGTTGCGTATAGAATACCTTGAGATCTCTCAGCTGTTCCGTGCTAACACCAAACAAAAACAGCAACATTTCGATGATAAACGGCAAGATTGCCATCAAATCGATAATATTGAGCAGCTGAAAAAATGTCTTCCGCCGGTCCGCCGTGACCAGCATTTTTGTAGCTGAAAAAGATGGGACTCAATACGGATACCAACTATCATGCATGCATTATTATGCAAATCTGCTCCATTTTCTCTGGATCGAAAGCCAATAATTTCATTGCAACTTAAAATAAAACCCTTTAATCACCCAAAATAACGGCATTCATGCAGCTTCTACCTTATAATTTACTGTTGTTTTTTGTTTTGCATTTTATACGAATCAATGTAGTGGTGTAGTGGTCAAAGGCGCACGGTAGCACACGCATGGACCGATACTGAATCCCAGATGAGTATCCGCCCAGGCCGATCAGCCTTTCAACACACCGAGTCCATTAACTGTTACCAATTTNTACCATACTCGCTTCGGAGGATAAAAGCACTGACTTGCCATCGGCCGGCTCAGTATGTATGTAATGTGGTCTTTGTATGGGCTACATTACATACATACACATTCGGTATTTATTATTGCCAAAGACTTTGTCCATTATCCTCACTCTAATGAATCTTATTGTCAACATGGCTATCGGAAAGTAGATCCCTATTTTAAAAACATGTTAGCTTTCTATACCATACTACGTTACTTTTTGACCACTACTAGCTCTTTTATGTAGCTTGGAAACACTTCGCGTCATTTACCAAGCATAGACTAGCTGCCAGAGAATTGTAAATGTAGCTGTCACAAACAACTGTGTTTAATTACTTACATACCGTATTCTAAAATGAACCAGACAATGCATATATATTCTATGTAACCGAGAATCGGAAGCGGTTCCATATCGTTTACGATACCTGAAATTAGTAACCTGAATTTTTTGCGTAGATACGAGATAAACATGAAATACTGTAACACTTGCATTTGCAAGTCAAGCTCAAGCATCAAGCTCGGTTTGGCTTAAAAGAAATTTGGGTTGGAATTGATCCAGGGGGTAAAACGAATGGCTGTGTCAATTGGCGTTGCTGCCATTCGCTTAACCTCAACTCAGAACCCATTTTTGTGACTACCTGACGAGCTATCCACCAACGTCGGTTAATTGAAATAGAAATATCCTATATAACTTCACCCTTCCGTTAAATTATTTCAAAAGGCACCTCATGCAACTCTGAGCCAGTTCCTCTTAACTGCCCAGCCTTTTCCGGTTTAAAGTGAAAAGAACGTGTTTTCTTCTGTATGATATTCGCTTTTCGTCCCCTCACTCAGTAGTGGTGGCTCTAGTAGTGATACGAGAGTCAAGTGAGAGCTGGTGACGCCATTTATCACAGTATAACATAGGTGGATACACGCTCCGATTCTTTTTATGCCTAGACTACTGATCTCCCCGGGCATCCAGGAACTGTTTGAGACACGAGGAAAGAAAGAAGTTGGGAGCCTTTCTTCGGAAGAATCATCGTGCTTAATCTTTACAAACCCTGTTTTACGTTGTAAAACCAGTAATCATAAGCTTTCATACCTTCAGTAGTATTCTTTTGTACGGAAATCTGAAGCTCAGGAAGCGAGCCCAAAACAAGTCCAGAAATGGATATCAATACAAATAATACGGAAAACGTTGCGAACACTTGAGCATAGCCAGAACTGAAATGAAAACGCAGTTTTTTCTTTTTTTTCCAGGTGGTTGCAATAATTCATCTTTGCAGTGAGAGTTTGCACTTAAAGTGATTCTGCACCAGGCCGATTCTACGCCAATTTATTGCTTACATAAACTGATTTGAGCTCAAACATTAAGTATAAAAGTGATAATCTATCTTTTATTAAATGTACAGCAAAAGAGAGCGGTAAGAGAGGAAAATGCAGGACCTGACAAGAAGATCATCGATATGCTCTACCAAGGAAGTTTTTAGCTAATTGCTTTTACTGAAAAGGTTCTTCCTAGCTTGAACATTTGTAAAAATTGTCGAGTTCAAGCTGGCAAGGTAAGTAAATACAACATATACCCTTTGGAAAGTTTACTGATGAAGGCTTAACAGCATACCGACGGCAGACGAAGACAAAACTCACCTCGTGGGCTCTTCAATCACGTTCCAGACTTTTCTTCGCAACTCGCCAAAACGCAACTGTTTGAACTGATTTGGTGACTCATCTGAGGAGAACGATGATATCGAATCTAGGTCATTCTGAAATAAAAAATTCCAAGGCGACATGTGCAAACAGAAAAAAAANAAAAAAAATCATGTTCGGCTCGAAGATTAAACCCTATGACTTGGATGTTAAGTGATCATTTTATTGCAGTGGCAGCTACTTAAAAGTGAAATCCGTCAGTACGCCGAGACGTTAACCAGCAAACGCTGATTATAATTTTCGCATAGTCTGAGAAACGACGAAGGCTCGAGATTCTGTAGGCCCATTCACATTGAAATAATTTCTGAGATTTCAACCTTCGATGAGCCTGCGAACCCCAAGGACAGCCCAGGGGACGCTGCCGGGCCGAAGAATGGCCAAGATAGGGCGTAATAAGGTCCCCAAAACCAGCTTAGACGACGCACACAAACAAGGTGAAAGCTGTCAATGTGCACCACATTGAGACTCGCACCTTGCTCAGAGGCAGCTATCTGCAGCTATGTATTTGTAGTCAATAGGGTGCACACTTAAACAGCTCGTCCAAATACCTCCTTCGTGCAACTTTTGTCGTCACATTCTCGTCCATACCTAATTCTACATCTTTTTTGAAGCCTTTTAATTCTCTGAATATGCGAATTTCCGCGATCTCTTTGCCACTTTTGCACTAATCTGGACAATCACTTTCACCACTCGTCTAAAACTGAATGCTCCGAAATTTTTGTGCACTGCGCTTTTATTAAAGGACCGTCATATATGTAGAATACGCATTGACTGCGATTTCCATTTCAGAAGAAAAAGGAAAGCGTAGCACATTAGCACATCACGAAAATGGTCTGATCAAGGCCAAAAACTTTTCAGTTATGTCCTTTTCAGTTCCATTCAAAGAATTGGGATTGTGAAGGGGTGGGTGAATAGGAGCACAAATGAATATTAAATTAAATTTCAATTTCCGGATTTCAAGATGATTACCTTATCTTCCGCACAGCAACAGGGAGCGAGGTAGTTGTCGGGCATAATACCCCAATAGTCCAGCTCATCTAATATATCTATCGGGCACAAATGAGAAGGCTGATGGATCTGTCCTGTAATTGGAGCTCAATCAGTTCGTCAATCAACTGATCAATTGAAGAATCAGTATTACCGGTTAAATAAAATTGATAGACGATATGGAATAAAGATGGCGGTCTTTCGAAATAGTATTCGTTGGTGGAAGAGAAGTATGCGTCGGCGAGGCTGAGCCGCTCGGAAGTACTGTTCATTTCCAACAACCAAACAAGGCGCCCGGAAAAATTAAAGGATATTTTCAAGCTCTGAAGAAAAAACTACCGTTGAATTTGAATGGCTCGCATTTGACATATAAATCTTCCCTTTATTCCACTTCATTCTGAATCAATGTGGTGAAAGCAACATATCAGTGAATGAAATTTTGGAAGCCAATACCAGCGTAAGGGGCCGCCAACTGATCGTGAGTGCTTGAGGCAAAGCTTAAAAACCAGTCAGCCACAATGGATGTCCTCGAAATCCGACTCGAAGCGCCTCATCCTCCATGCTCGGATAAAATAAGAGAAGACTAGCATCAGAAGAAGGTGAATTCCTGAATTCTTCAGTCCTCTTCCAATGGTTCTCAATATGCGCGATCTGTATACGTTTCTAGGCGTGCATCGTTTGATTTGAGGGGACCAGTATGAGGTCCGGAAGAAAGAGAGAGCTCCAGAAAACTTGGGAAATTGGCTTACAAATAGAGGCTTTCATATGGTTTCAAAACGATTGCAAGAACAGCTCTTTGGTTTTAGGTAACCTGAGAGAATCTCAATAAAAACCGTAATGCTCACCGACTTTCCGTCCAACAATCGTCTCCTTTTTAAGCATAAAACGATGTCCGCCTACATTTATTCGGAGAAACTCTTTCGACTTGGCACTGTCCACAAATATACCCTGAGAATGAAGAAAAATATTGAGGCTTTAAACGAATATTTTTGTATTATTATTTAGAGTTACACAAAACAAAAGACGAGCTCTCATAGAAGTAAGGGGAAGAAGCACAGAACTCAATGATTATGTTTTCACAATCAGAAGGCACACCATATTCCCACTCCGCTTCGTACTGAGGTGTATACGGTGGTGATATTCTTGTTTTGCGCGAGGTGTTTGATAGATAACCAATTCTTTAGTGATTCCAATGGCCTATTTTCATTTTTCGCGTTCCAGAGACATTTCTCGAGACCAAAACCTAACCATTATTCAACGGAAGCACAACCCTCTATGAGTAATACCCAATTACTCAGATAGCGGGTGCCGTTTCCATCTCTGCGAGTTCGTGTCTCATGAACCATTTCTAAAAGTTACATGACTTGGTTTGTTGAACCTTCCGATTAGTTGTTTGTTCCCTAGACTGTGGGTAGGAAGCTAGCACTAATAGGAGGACTGGTACAATGAGCAGCGGGGTAAGGTGTTCATCGCGGGTGCGCTTCATTGCGCGCATCCGTCGAAACTGGGGGACGGTCAAGTCGTGCGTCCGAGGGTGCGCGCGGCAAATTGCGCGGCGAAACCCATACCTATTCTGACGACTTTGGCGCCTATTATTTGGGCCCAATTTCGAAGTACAGTAGAATAGTAGGATCAGCTGACCTTACTCATCTACCTTACTTCAGATTTTGGTCCCAATGATAAACGCCGCAGTCGTCCAAATTCGCCACGAACTTCGCCGCACAATTTGCCGCGCGCCCCCTCGGACGCACGACTTGACACACCCCCGTCTAGGTCACGCCACACCGCCGCACGCGGCGGGTCAGCCTGCGATCTTTGACAAACGTCGCAGTCGACAGCGTGGCATACGCATCGCGCTTGGTCCACGGCATTCAGCCAAAAGAGAAGATAACACGACTAAATGCAAATCATTTGCTCAACTGACACTTGGTGTTACAGTAATGTCATCTCGGACCTCAGGGGGGTGCGCCGCGCGCGAAGTGGGCGGGATGACCTATTTTCGACGGACGCGTACAACGGACGTCCTCCGTTTATAGCAACTGTACGTTACTACCCTACTTCCTCTTTCGAACACATGATACGCGAAAATTGTGAGCATTTTTGCAAGAATGACAGGGTGTCATAACATCAAACAAGGTTAGGAAACAGTGAAGAGAAAGAGCACAAAAAAATACGAGCTACATCGAAAAACACCGTAAGTGTGCCATCCAGTTCCATCCCCCAACGTCCCGTGAGGAAAATTGAGAAAACTAAGTCATCAAAGTTCTTGTGAAGTAAGGTATGATATTAAAAAAGGATAAGAGTAAAGCTCACTCGTGGTGTGGTTCCGATTTCCGCAGGGTGTGAACAATTCTGCAACAATGGCGGCTCCTCCTCGATACCATCCGCACTTGCTTCAGTACGATTATTCCTAAAAACGAAGGGAAAATCGAAAAGTTCTCTACCCTCTCAGAAACAACACTCCTAGACCTTCTATTTGAACTCCAGCCTTTTACAAATCAAAAATCCTAAGCCCATTACAAATCGACTGCGTATCAGCCAATTGAGTGTTGGGTGGTTTTAATTTACTCCCCAGTAAGAGGACCTTCCCAGAGAATACCTAAGTTGACTATGGAAAAAATTTGATATTTTAATGGCGGATAACTGACAAAATTCAATTCTGAGAAGCTTTATCTTTCCCAAAAAAGGCCATTAAATCAAAGCGTGGCAAGTTTAAGGATGAACGCGACCTTAAACGTAATAGTTCCCAGCTCTAACCACCCGGACCAGGTAATCCCAACAGTCCGACCTTTTTCGAATCTGATAACCAATGCGGTCATGCGCAGCGATATGAAATCCACGACCAAAACGGTGCCGATTCAGCCGGGTGATGCCATGCGACGTGGCCATAATAGAGCCCTGTAGCACTGCGGTATTCATGACGATCGATCGGCAACGACACAATTAAAGGCCGTCAGTCAATAAATCAATAGTCGATCACATGCAGGCGATGGAG